CATGATACTCCATACAGAAGACCCCAAGAACTCTACCAAAGTCTTCTAGACTTAATAACCAAATTCAGTAAAGTATCTGTATATAAGGTCAATGCACAAAAATCAAAAGCTTTTCTGTACACAAAAAAAGAGACTCACTGAGAGAGAAATGGGGTCATCAATGCCTTTCACAGTAGCATCTAAAAAATTGAAATAACTAGGAATCAATGTAATCCCCCCCAAAAAAAATCAAAGATCTCTGCTCTGAAAAACTATAGCACTCTGAAAAAAAAAAGAGAGATTGAAGAGGATATAATAAAAAATGGAAAGATATCCCTTGCTCCTGGGTAAGAAGAATCAACAGAGTAAAAATGGCCATACTTCCAAAACTGCTATACAGATTCAACGCACTTCCAATTGAAATACCAGCAGCCTTCTCCAAGACCTTGAGAAACAAACCAAAAATTCATTTGTAACAAGAAGAGACCTGGAGTAGCAAAAGCAATTCTAGGCAATAAAGACAAGGTAGGGAGTATCACAATCCCCAATTTAAAACTATACTACAGAACTGCTGTGATAAAAACAGCACGGTACTGGCAAAGAAACAGACCTGAGGACCGATGGAAGAGATTCGAAGATGCAGAAACAACTTCAGACACACTCAGCCACCTCAACTTTGACAAAGGAGCCAAACACCCTCACTGGAGGAAAGACAGCCTCTTTAATAAATGGTGGTGGAAAAACTGGGCTTCAACTTATCAAAGATTAAAACCAGACCTATACCTCTCACCGTGCACTAAACTAAAACAAAGATGGTTTAAAGATCTCAATATTAAAACAGAAACACTAAATCTGCTGGAAGAGAGCTTAGGTAGAACTCTTGAAGACATTGCTGTAGGAAAAGATTTTATGAACAGAACCTCAGTTGCATGTGAACTAGAACAAAGAATCAACCATTACAGAAGGGAATTGGCAAGTGACACACAGAGAGGCAGCAGAATGGAAGTAAAATAAAAATTTTACTCCATCAATGGGGATTGATGACACCTAATGGCGGTGCCCTGATCAATTCCCCACTGGGTTACAGCTCCTTCTTTTATAGGGTTTTACAGCCTTGATCTCTTTCAGCTGATTACATTGTATTTTCACATTTCACATTGCTGATGCCCAAAACATGGTGGCGAAGCAGTTGAATTTCAACCTGGATGCAATTCTTTGTTAGGGGAGGTTACCTTTAAGAGTTATCTGTTCTAACCAGCAGGAAGGGAGCCTGTTTGGTCAACAAAGCTAACAATGATTCTTTTCATTTACAAAACTTTTTAGGGAGACTGTATGCCTCCCATGATGGTTAATTCTGAACTAAATAGAAAGGGCAAAGTTATCTTACATTGCGACATTTCCTAGGTTTTTACTATTAAAGTTTTCCCTATCACAAGTGTGATCTTTTCTTGTTTTGTTTTTATTTTTGTTTTTCTTTTTTGGCACTGGGGATCAAACTCAGATCTTTGTGCTTGTGAAGCAGGTGGCAGAACCACTGAGCTAAATCCCCAGCTCAATGGGATCTTTTCTTATAAAAAAAGTTTATGTGCAGCAAGAGAAACCACCAAAAATGTGAAGAGACAACCCACAATGTGGGAAAAAACTTTCATCAGCTGTTCCTTAGACAAAGGTCTACTATCTAGAATATATAAACAGTTTACAAGCCAGGCGTGGTGGCACATGCCTGTAATCCAGGCACTGGGGAAGCTGGGGCAGGAGGATCTCTGTGAGTTCGAGACCAGCCTGGGCTACATAGTGAGCAGGTCAGTCTCAACTACTTAGTGAGACCCTGTCTCAAAAACAAAACAAAACAAAACAAACCTGTATACAGAAGCAATAACAGAAAACATTCCAGACATGAAAAAAGAATTTAACATACAGAAAAGCAAGACATATAGAAACCCAAATTAGTCATGATAAGAAAAATAAAAAGACTCCATGCCCCGTCATAATTAAGGTACTAGAAATCCAACCTAAGAACCGAATCTTAAAAGCTGTAAAGAAAAATAATGAATCCCTTTTAAAGGAAAACCTATCAGAATAACAATAGACTTCTTAACATATTCATCGAAAAGAAAGTTTAGTGCTGTTATCTGTTTCTTTTCCTTAAGAGAGTCTTCTTTATCTATGACTTGTTATTCTGAGTAGTATTTTGGCCATTCTTCTAAGGTTATGGTACACAGTGTAACAACTATTGTTATCTTCTATTTTTTATTCATTAGTAAATGTTTGAAGCGCATGCGTTTTACCATTGTCTTGAGGACTTGGTACATGTACATAATACAGTTTGTTTCATTTTTAAAATATCCTTCCCTTCCCCCTCCCACTTCGTCTATTCCTCTTTCCCCCTTGTCATTCTTGTTGATATTATTAATCTTATTTCAAGTTTATGGCACATAATGCTCACATTCATTAAGGTTATTAGGACCTTGTACTGGCATATATCACCTCCCCGCCATCTCCCACTTGGTCTCCTGCACCCCTTACCATCTGCAGGAGATCCATCTCACCTGTGTCATTCTATCTTCTTTTTTTCTTCTTTCTTTCTTTTTTTTTCTTTTTTTTTTTTTTTTTTTTTTTTTTTTTTTTTTTTTTTGTACTGGGGATCAAACTCGGGACCTTGAGCTTGTGAGGCAGCAGGCAAAACCACTGAGCTAAATCCCGGCCCTCTTAGTTTTGTGCTTTGCCTTACTCAAATGAGACACATACAGTATTCAAGCTTATAAATCTGATTTATTTCATTTAACATTGTATTTCCCAAGTGCATCCATTTTCCTACAAATGTCTCACATATGTCCTTCTTTATAGCTGAATAGTATTCCATTGTGTATAGATAACACATTTTCCTTATCCAATCCTCTGTTGGTGGGTATACAGCCTGCTTCCAGGATTTAGCTATTACAAATTGTGCTGCTATAAATATTGGTATGCATGGGCCACTGGAATGTGATGTCTTAAGCTTTTTGGGGTACATACCTAGAAGGAAAATAGCTGGGTCATACAAAATTTCTAATTCTTTGAGAAACCTCCATACTATTTTTCATAATGGTTGTAGTCCTCTATTTGTTGTGAAATTGTGTTTTTTACAGAAGAGTGCAAGTTATATTTTCTTTAGTTATATCTACATGTATAACATTAAAATTAAGGGCCGGTCATTTAGCGCAGCAGTTCGGTGGCCTGCCTCGCAAGTGCAAGGACCCGAGTTCGAACCCCAGTACCAAAAAATAAAAAATAAAAAATGTTTCAAAGGAAAATGTAACATAAATAATTTCACAATAGCCTACAAGGAAATTTAGCTGAAATTCACAAATTCAAAGGAAAACCATTGACAAATGTATCCCAAGACCAAAATTAAAAATTTCTGTTATGCCATATCTATTACCAAAGTTGAATCTACTTTAATCTTTTCCCACAAATTTAATGGGGATTAACCTTGTCACTGGGGGAGTATATTAGCATTCAAAGTGTAGTAAAATTGGCTTATTCAAACTTCTTCAGAGAAGAAGAAAAATGGGAAAAAATTCAGTTGATTTTATTAGAATAACGGATCTTTAGCACTCTTAACTGGCAGTTCCATTGCAAGAAACAGATTTGACCAGCCACTTTCCCTCTGGAATTAAATTTGTGTCCCACTCAGATATTTTTGAAGGGCTGGGGGATTTGGCTCCATGGTTCCACTGCCCGCCTTGCAAGCACCAGGGCCAAAGTTTGATCCCTGGTACCACACACACACACACACACTCACACACACACACACACACACACACGCACAAAAACATATTTTTGAAGGAAGTTATAGTATGACGAGCTTTGGCTTATGCAATAAAATTTACTGCACTCATTTCTGAAAATAAAATAAATGAAAAATATAAAAATTGTGATCACCTCTCCATAATTTACAAATAAATGACAAAAAGAATTCTCACTAAATTGGGAGAACGATGGAACTGTCTTAATCCTACAAAGGGCATTTACAAACTTCTAAAAAAAAATCACATTTTGTTATTCCATATTGAAAGTGAGAACAAGACCAAAAACAAAAAACAAAAAAACAAAAACTCAATTGACCACTTCTACCTCACATTACACAGGAGGTCCTGACCAAGGTGATATTGTTAGGAAAACAAATAAAAGCTAAAATTCACTGGAAGGGAAGGAATATATTTGATAAAGTATTAGCATGATACTAATGTGTGAGCATAAAATCTAGGTAAATTAATTAATATTTGAAGTTATTGGTGACTGAATACATGATACCAAAGTACTATGTCATATTTGTGAACTATTCAGAAATGAAATTTTTAAAAGGTGACAACTACTGCATTCTTAAAAGTATCACATACCTAGAGATGATTCCCCTGAAAGTGTTGAAAGGTTCTACCAATAAATTATAGAAATGCATTTAGAAAAAAAACAATCAATGAAATAGAGCACATTTATGAATGGAGAGACCCTATAAATGAAAGGTGTTTAGTACTTTTCACCTCAGTCTACCAACTCAACCCAGTTGAAATTAGCATAAAAGTGTTCCGTGGTGAAATGGGAATTTGTTCTAGGGTGGAGGATGTGCTGTACTGGGCAGGAGGTATTGCAGGTCATATCTGTTTCCCTGGAACTTAGCAAATTGTGCAGCCCATGATGGTTTCTAACTAAGTGCTTATTCATTGAATGAAAACCCAGGCCCTTACACACTTCCAATTTTGATAGGTAGTAGATCTTTTAAATTTTTGTGAGAATGGAAATCTGGTACCATAAACATTTCATATAAATAAAGAGAAGAAATAACAGTATATTTCACAATAGTACAAAGAAGATCTATGGTATTGAGAATTATCCCCAGTCTAATATTCTTTTACTAGGTGCCCAGAAAAACAAAGGACAGCAGACTCAACAAGTCCAGTGAGCTTCTGAGGTGGGGGTGGGAGCTGTGAATGAGGGAGAGATGCTGGCCATGGGCTGAAGACAATTTGTATTTCCAACAGACACGGGGCAGTGTGTGAAGTGTCCAGATCACCCGTATGTCAGCATTCAGAGAAATCGCTACCCTCAGAACAGTATGACTCTTTTGGCTTATGGAGACCCTTTGGGAAATGTGCTGGCTGGCACAGCCCTCAATTTGATCGTTCTTACTATTGCTGTTCTTGGGCTCCTTGTGAAGCACCAAGACACTCCCATCCTCAAAGCGAACAACGCCGCAGCTCTCAGCTACACCCTGCTCATCTCCCTCACCTTCTGTTTCCTCTGCTCCTTGCTCTTCATTGGCCGGCCCAACACAGCCACCTGCATCCTCAGGCAGACCACATTTGGAGTTGTGTTCACTGTGGCTGTTTCCACCGTCCTGGCCAAAACGATCACTGTGGTGCTGGCCTTTAAGGTCACTGCTCCAGGCAGGAGGATGAGGCAGTGGCTGGTGTCAGGGGCACCTAACTCCATCATCCCCATCTGCTCCCTGATCCAACTCACTCTCTGTGGAGTCTGGATGGGACGAATTCACCCTTTGCAGACACAGATGCACACTCGGAACATGGCCACATCATCATTGTGTGCAACAAGGGCTCCCTCACTGCCTTCTACTGTGTCCTGGGATACCTGGGCTCCCTGGCCCTGCTGAGCTTCACCGTGGCTTTCCTGGCCAGGAACCTGCCCGACACCTTCAATGAAGCCAAGTTCCTGACCTTCAGCATGCTGGTGTTCTGCAGTGTGTGGGTCACCTTCCTCCCCGTGTACCACAGCACCAAGGGGAAGGTCATGGTGGCCGTGGAGGTCTTCTCCATCTTGGCCTCCAGTGCAGGGCTGCTGGGGTGCATCTTTGCACCCAAGTGCTACGTTATTACCCTAAAACCTAAGAAGAACTCTGTGACAGATTTAAAGAACTAGAGGAATTTGAAGAGAAATAGGCATTCTGCGAGTTTCTAAACACTTTTTAAAATATCTACCACAATATAAAGACATAGACAACAAACCTACCCATTTTTAATTCTAATATTCTAAAGAAATAAAATTGATGGAGCATTTAGATCCCACTTCCTTTTTAAAAGTCATTTTGAAAAACAAATATAAGCCAGCCACCTAAAAGTAAAGTCAGAAATGCTATCTCAGATGACTGACCCTCCAATTGACAATAGGAATTAAATTCTCTGTTTTATCTAACTATACCTGATATATCTGTACTCTGGTAAGTTATTTAAATGATGCGAATTCTACTTTCTACCTTCCTCACTCTCTTGTCTCCAGTGCAGATTTGAGAGATTTGTGATTTTACTGTTGAAATATTTGGGTCTAGATTTCTGCATTTGGATGTCCAGTTTTTTCTGTATCCGTGGCCAAATTGGCTTTCTTTCCTCTAGTGTTTGTTTTTGGCTCCTTCCAAAAAGATCCGATGGCTGGATGTGTCCACGGTAGTTTCTGTGTCCTCTATTCTGTTCACTGACCCATGTTTGTTTTTGTACCAGTGCAATGTTGTTTTATCACTGTAGCTGAATTTTAGGATTGTTTTCTTCAGTTCTGTGAGGAATGCTATTATTTTAAACATGATTGCATTAACTCTATTTGTTAGTAGATCTTTTATTTTGGGGTTCTGATTTCTGAAAATGTGGCCATTTAGACTATATTGGTCCTGCCTATCCATGTACAGGGGGACATCTTTCCATTTCCTGATGTCCTCTTTGATCTCCTTTTACAGAGTACTGTAGTTTTCATTGTAGGGATCTTTCATTCTTAGGTAATTCCTAAATATTTATTATTGCGGTACAGGAATGCTAGTGGTTGTTTTGTGTATTGATCTTGTATCCTGCTACATTGTTTAATTTGATTATTAGTTCTATGGAGTCTTTCCGTGTGTGTGTGTGTGTGTGTGTGTGTGTGTGTGTAAAATGTTTTATTTCTTTTTCTTGCCTAATTTCTCTGGCTAATGTTTCGAATACTACATTGAACAGGAGTGGTGATAATAGATATCCTCATCTTGTTCCTGATTTCAGAGAAAAAGCTTTCAGTTTTTCACCATTTAATATGATGTTGACAGTAGGTCTGTTATAAATGGCTTTTATCGGATTGAGATAAGATTCTTCTGTACCTATTTTCTTCATGATCTTTTTAAAACATATGAATGGATGTTGGATTTAAACCAGGCTTTTTCTCTTTCTATTGAGATGATCATGTGATTTTAGTCCTTGTTTCTGTGTAAGTCACAAATCATGTAGTTGACTTGCATATGTCGAACCATCCTTGCATCTCTGGGATGAAGCCTACTTGGTCGTGGTAAATGATGTTTCTGATGATTTGTATTACATTTGCCAGGATCTTACTGAGGGCTTTTGCATTTATATTCATCAGAGAGATTGCCCTATAGTTCTCGTTTTTTAGTTGCATCATTGTCTGTTTTTGGAATCAGGGCATGACCCAGCGCGGGACTGCTGTGCTGCATCTTCGCTCCTAAATGCTACATTATTTTGTTAAGGCCAGAGAGAAATTCTCTGCATGGATTCAGAGATAAAACACATGCCAGCAAAAGAAACCTTAGTAGTTTAAAAAATATGTTCTTCCTAAACTATAATGTCTCTAAGTAAATCTGCACTACTTTGTGTGAGGTGTTAGAATAATACATGGCATTTACTTCAATAATCAAGGGACTCATTTTTTCCATGATACACTTAATGTTAGGATGACCTGTAGCAATCCCCTTTTTACTTTGAATTTTGTTCTGTAAATTTCTTGTTCTTTAAATTCTACAATAAATCCCAATCTATTTGCTTAAGATTCATTACATTACTTCTTTTATCTTCTGCTCCAGTTGTCCTCAGTCAGTTTAAGGAATTACTGATACTGTAACTTTTCTCTTCAAAACATTATATCTCAGAATTCCCTAATGAATTTCATTGTATTTTTTCTATTTTGAGTGTTAGTGTGACTTGAATATGCCGATTAAACTTTATTCTGGCAATTGGGTTTGTATTTCCTTTCTCACACTTGACTGTCAGTATTTCTCAAGCCCTCTTTCGCAGAATTTCCTTCTTTTGTTGCCTTCAGATTCCTAGGATTGTTTAATCACGTGTGATATCAAATGCTCTTGTGTTTAAAATAACCATGTATCGAATTTAACATGTTACATGATGGATAATTTGTAGAGTTGTACAGTGAATTCTCATATCAGTGCTTGGCTAAGTCTATTTGTCTTGTATAAATGTCCATTTATGAAAGGAGATAAAATGTCTATATCTCGTTTTAGGTTGCTTTCACACACACAATACTACACACAATAGTTTTTCTCCTCATATTTATTCCTGAGTTTTTAAAAACAGGTTGTTACTGCAGATAGAAATTATTTTATCAACCATACTTGAATGTACCCCATGTTTTATGAAGGATCAGTCATTTGTTGAATCAAATGGCCAAATTACTTGGGTCTCTATTGGTGTTTGTGGAATCCCTTGGATTTTTAATGCATATGATCTTTCAACCAATCACACATTTATCTTCCTTACTCCATCTTTGCAGTTTCTTTGTCATTTTCATTCCACGGCTAATATGGTGTCTTGCTATAAACATGACAGATACTTGTTTTGTATTTCTCAGAATTTTCACCAGTTCACAGTCATGCTATTTCCTTCTTCATAATACATTTTTTTGGAGTTCTACATTTAGAAAACTTATTAATGATATGTACACTGATTTTTTTTGGAGGGGGTTGAGACAGGGTCTCATTATGTAGTTGAGACTGACCTGGAACTCACTAGGGAGCCCAGGCTGGTCTCGAACTCACAGCGATCCTCCTGCCTCAGCCTCCCGAGTGCTGTGATTACAGATGTGCACCACAACACCCAGCTTGTACACTGATTTTTCTAGTAAAAACTTAATTGTCCACAGTGTATTATCTTTTCTGAAGACAACATAGAGCAATTTGAATTTAACCTGTTTGCACACATTGTCAGTGAGCTGACGAGCAGCATTTCTTTGTAGTGCCATTCGGGTTGGATTTTTTTTGTGTGTGTGTGTAAAAATGCAGTAAAAAACATTTTTAAATGGAGAGAAACTGGATGGATGAGGGATCTGATGGGTGAAAACACGGGTGGGTGGAGGGAAGAGACAGCGTTAGAGACAACACAGTTGGTGGTCCATGGGTAAGGGAGCGGAAGCACGAAGGCGAGAGGACAGACAATAAAGGAGGAAAATGCAGAACTTTTATCAGACTTTTAAAAGATTCCGTTTTAATCTCTCTAAGTTTCAATTCATTAAAATTTTTTAAATCACCCCTTTCCTCTTTAGCCTATGGCCACAGATGTACAATTGTCCTTGTACTCTGCTAAACCTCGCCAAGCCTTCATCTTCGACTGATTCATTTGTGCGAAAGAAGTTTCACCCTACCCAGAAATTTCTCATCGGCTCCTTGAATCATCTCTCTTTGTCAAAATTTAAGCATGCTCCATGCATAAAATAAACCAACTTTGCCTTTCACAGCATATCTTGTCTGAAGAGAAATAAACAAAGGGAATTCGCGTTTATATTCAGTATATTTTTAATTGGATTTGGATCCAATCAGAATAAATTTTAAGAAACTGACTGTGTATCAATCTGTGCCATAATAATCATCAGAGAGTTCTGGGGACTCTTTCCAGGAGCTCAGATTCGTGAATGCTCCTTGGCAACATTAGATGATTCAGGGTAAGAGAAGAAAATTGTCCATCTGTTGGCAGTAGATGACGTTTTAAGAAACAGTCAGGTGCCTTCATGTTGGAGAATTCACTGGGAAGAACCCACCTGCATCCACCTTCCTTTGCCTGAGTCAAAGCAGTCAGAGCTGATGAAGAGAGAACTAATGTCCAGTCCTGGAACATTTCCAAACACCTGAGTTACGATTTCCCCAAAGCCCTCTGAGACCGAGCCCCTCCAAAGTCCATGCACATGTTCTTTCAGACTGTTCTGAAAAGCAAGGGTACCTCTTCTGTTCCAATGCCAAAATTCAGACTTTGGCTCCTACTGTGCATGAAAACTGTGATCGTCTGTGTGTTAGGTAAAAGAGCCAAAAAACCAGGCCCAGAGCAGGACTACAACAAGCCTTTATTATGGGGAGGACCCGGGGGTCTGTCTCCTAAGAAAGGAAAAGCGCAGCATGGAAGAACAGGCAGCTTCTTTTATAGGAGTAGGGTGGGGTTAACCTGATCTGGGGTGGAGCTGAGTGAGGGAGCATTAAGGGATTGGAGGAACCTGTGACATTACTAGAAGGGGCTTATGACATCATTGGTTACTCGAGGTAGCAAGTATCAGGTTACTCTTGGCCGGAAGAGAGGCATGATGGGAGGAAGGCCGTCCTGTGGTAGGAGAAGCCATATTTAACATGGAGGCTGCTCTTCCATGTGGCAGCCATTTTAATGTGCACAGCATTATGGGAAGGGGACTGCTGTTTTATGTAGCAGCCATCCTTGAGGCAAGGGAATTCTAACACTGTGCCTGGGCATGCAGCCCCAGAGTCATAGCCTGTTGTGATGCTGATGGAGCAGAATGTTTTGTTGGAGACCAACGTGGGCCACTGAGTGAGATTTTGTCTTATAAAAAAATAAATAAAACAGATCATGTTTGACAATTTATTTCAGTGGCAAGGTGTTGAGATTTAATATTAATACCTATAAAAAGAATATATTTATGTGCCAATTGTTCATTTAGAAAATGAAATTTATTCTTTCAGTATGAATTTCCCTGCCGATCTACCTTTCCTCCTGACACCCAAATCCTAGGATTACCTGATGTATGTTGCACACAGACATTTTTCTCCTAACTGAAGTCATTTTCAAGTTTTAAATATTTGTTTTCTCTTGGTTGGATATAAACACACTTCCCTCCCTCACTGATTTTAGAAGCTCAGAGGCTTATGTGCTGCAGAGTGG